CTTAAAGATATTAAAGTTGAAAACATAGTCCTACCTAATGAGTTTGTTTCAAAACTTCTAATCGAAAAGCTTTTGAAATCCTTAACAGATAAAGCATAAGCATAAATATATGTCACTGCTAGATCTTATCACACACATCATCATCGAAGACACCAACCGAAAGCAATGTGTTGTTTCAAAGGCTAAGGCATTATTAACTAAGGAAAATATGGTAAAAGACAAACCAACTCCAAAAAGGTACAAGAAAAAACCTGATCATAAGAAATAAATTTTAAAAATTCTCATCCCAATGAATCTAACCTCATCTTTAAAAAGAAGGGAAATTGTTTTGTTTGTGGAAAACTAGGTCATCATATATACATCTCAATGCAGACGTAGAATAAAAAACGACAATCCTTATAAAACAAATTTAATCGAATGAGAAGATACAATTGTTGCGATTATTTTTCAAATAAACCTTTTGACAAATATGAGCAAAGTATACATCAAAGTATACATCATATCTAGAGGTGGTAAAAATTATTTTGTAACATTTATCAATAACTACTCTAGATACACCAAAGTATACTTAATCAAATATAAGGATAAAGTGTTTGACATGTTTTTAACTTATAGAGCGGAAGTAGAAAATCAATTAAACAAGAAAATAGAAAGGATTATATCAAATAAAGGTGGTTGAAAGCAATGAGGGGGTGATTGATGATAATGTGAAACATGTCCTTACATTCTTAAAAGTTGATTTTGATGATGATTCAAGTCAACAATATTCAAGACTCAAGCAAACCCAAGATATGATTTTGATAAAGATTCTATTCAACATCAAGCAAACCCAAGATGATTCCTGAAGACTAGATAGAGTCTTAGAATACTAGATATGAAGGTACAAGTTGATGAAATAATAATATGCATAAGTCTCTGATACATGTTTATTTTACCTCACAATTTTAGGTTAAATTAGGTCAATTTCATGCAGTTCTTGTAACAATTAGATAATATTTATTTTATTTATCGTTGCATTTAACTTTTAGTTTAGTTTTTATGTTTTGTTGAAAAAACAGGTGCATTTAGAACAACTTTTGTGGTGGGCTTGTGCGACTGGTATCACTCATAGGCTGCCAGTGGAACTTTCAACAACTTAACTTTTGGGCTTGGGCTGAAGCGGGAGCAAAAGGCAAAAGGCAGAAATGAAAACGAAAAGGGCTGACGTGGAAGGAGCGAGAAGGGAGTTTAAAAGGAAGCTGTAATGAATTTGTAGGGACGAAACTTTTAATATAGAACTTTTAGGTTTTTGAGCTTGAGTAGAAACTTTGATGGAAGGCTAAATTTTCCTTTGTTAGAGGATTAATGTAATATCCTGTAAGACAAATTCTGAACCTATTTACTTTGATGCATTGTAATTCCATTTATTCCAGTATTTTATCTATGGTTTTTAATGTTTAAACTTAAGCAGTTATATTTGGAAAAATGTATTCTGTTTATGTGTATGGATAAAGTAAGTTGGGTTTTTGTTTAATTGGGAAATTTTACAGACCTGGCTAGTTTTTGTGTAGTAAAAGATTAAATTTCAAGATCCAGGAAACTTTTATTTTCCAAGGGATTGGAAAGTTGAAAGTTTAATGGATAATTTATTTTCTAAGGAATTAGGAAATGAATAGCACGTTTAACTCTAAGGGATAAATTTAGTTCTTGCATCAAGTAAACAGGCTAGGAATTTGTAGGAAAGGATACGAAATTAATTCTCTAACACTTATTTTACTGCAAAAGAAAATTATTCTTTTAATGTCATTCTTACAAACTCAGATTACTCAAACTTAGAAACTCTGGTATTCAACAAGTATTCAATCTCTGAGGACGATAAAATGGTAATATTTGGTCCACTCACCAAAAATATACATCAATTTCCTGGCGCCGTTGCCGGGGATTGAAAATTTTTGTTGATATTAGAAGAAAAAATTTTCCCTGAGATTTGAGCTAAACATCTTTTACTGTCCAGAATTTTTTTCTTCTCTCTTTTCTTTTCTTTTCTTCTTTTCTGTATTTTTTTTAACACTCGTTTATGCGAGGTACTCGTAGCACCGTAAAACTTACCGTTTGATCCGTAAATTGAACGTACTCGCGAAGGAATAGAGGAAGTGCACGAAGAAAAAAAAGAAAGGAGAAGAGAACAAGAAGCAAATCAGAATTTACAAACTACAGTCATGGAGCAGCCCAAAAGAACATTGAGAGACTACTCCATGCCAGACCCAAATAATTACAAAGGGAGTATTGTTAGACCTCCTATACAAGCAAACAATTTTGAAATTAAACCTTCTTTATTGCAGGTCATACAACAGAACCAGTTTGGAGGTGTATCTTCAGAGGATCCAAATTCTCACCTGGAGAATTTCTTGGCTATCTGTGACACACTGAAAATCAATGGAGCCACTGATGATGCAGTTCGCTTGAGGCTCTTTCCCTTTTCATTGAGAGACAAAGCTAAAGGCCGGCTCCAGCCACAACCGCAAGGAAGCATAACCACGTGGGATGATTTGGCTACAAAATTTGTGAACAAATATTTCCCTCCAAGCAAAGTCGACAAGGATGAGGAATGAGATCACCAGCTTTATGCAACAAGATTCTCGAATCTCTGTATGAGGCATGGGAGAGGTTCAAGGAATTGACAAGAAGATGTCCTCATCATGCATTGCCGTAGTGGTTGCAGGTGCAGATTTTCTACAATGCTCTTTCTCCTACTTTTAAAGCAATGTTAGATGTCGCCGATGGAGGATCCTTCAACCTCGAAAACACTAGAAGAAGCCTTAGAAACCCCGGAATTAATGGCAAATAATACAGTACACATGCAGCTTGATCGTCAAAATAGGAAAGCTGGAGTGTTGGAAGTTAGTACTCTGGATGCCATTTTAGCTCAAAATAAGTTATTAACTCAACAAATCACAGATCTAACTCAACAGTTAGGGGGTATGCAGGTTAAAGCTGTTAACACGACACAATTAGTATGTGATTTTTGTGGGGGAATGCATCAAAAT